GAGAGAGAGAGAGAGAGAGAGAGAGAGAGAGAGAGAGAGAGAGAGAGAGAGAGAGAGAGAGAGACCAAAGGGCCCCCTGTACGTCAATTCATGGGCAGAGAGAGAGAGAGAGAGAGAGAGAGAGAGAGAGAGAGAGACCAAAGGGCCCCCTGTATGTCAATTCATGGGCCCCTGCAGGTACTGAAATGGCTCCGACAATGTATGTGAACATTATGGAGTCATCAAGGACCAATTCTTCAACGAGCAGGATGGCCGCATCATATGTGGAAGATGTGGGAGCAGTTTCCGAATTCGCACGGCGAGTTGAACATTTTTGCTGAGGGGGGGGAGGGGGGAAGGAGGCTAAGAAATTACGAAACCCCGACTTTTTTTTTTTTCCCGACCTTAATTTTTCTGGTGCGGTGTTCAACGCGTGCGTAAATCCTCGCACCGAGGTGCACCGCAACTATGCCCACTACCGAAGACAAGTGCCATATGTCTGAAATCCAGCCTCTTCAAACCACCAGTACTTGGCCCAGCAAAAAAAAAAATACGCTGCTTGTATACCGACGGCGGTCCGGCGTATTGTTCGGGGATCGCTGAAACGAATGCCCGGTAGCAGCGTATTTTTCAAAAGAACAAAAAAAAAGAGAAAAAGAGAGAAAAAGTTAAAAACAAAAGACATTTTAGTTGGGAGAAAAAGAAAAAGAAAGAAAAAAATCCTCGCGGCGAGAGAGAGAGAGAGAGAGAGAGAGAGAGAGAGATCCTTATGTGCAAAATGAGAATGAATGTTCCCGTGTTGTTGAGAGAGAGAGAGAGAGAGAGAGAGAGAGAGAGAGACGGCGCGTTCGACGCAATCATTCTTCCATTGTCTTCATGGAACCAGGAAAACGTGCACGAAAACTAGGCCTCGTTCTGATTGTTCTTTCCTCTCTCTCTCTCTCTCTCTCTCTCTCTCTCTCTCTCTCTCTCTCTCTCTCTCTCTGAAACGGTTTTCACCTTTTGGCAGTAGCAGATGCAGATCCCAGGGCTCGCTCCCTAGACCTCGGCCCACCCGTGTACAGTACCTGTGTAGACCCCAAGTGTTGAACCCGTGACCTGTGTATTCGTGAACAGTTTGTAGGCTGTCATAGGTCCGTAGGTAGTAGGGGTTCGATCTGTAGGTCTGTCGAATAGAAGTCTTAGCGAAGTCTAGAAGTCCTAGCTGTAGCCTTCTAGAAGGTCAGCAAGTGGGCAAGTGGGCAAGTGGTGAGTCAAGTGGTGGACTAAACTGCAGTGCAATTGCAGTATGACGGTGGTAGGTTAGCAGTGAGTCCCCACTCAGTCAGCGGTAAGGTCCAGTCAGTCCCAGTCCGGTCCAGCAAGTACCACAAGGGACTGTGAGCACCATGGGCCGATGGAAGAGGGCAGACCAACGAGTTTCAGAAGTATAAATCAAGAGGCAGCCCCCAGCCATTCATTCATACCTGCGTGAGCCATGCGGAAGTGCTGCCACAGCGACTTGTGCAAGGAGGTCTGCAGTGAGCCCGGAGCAGAAGTGGGCGAGAGAGAAGGAACGTAGCATAGTGATAGGGTAGTTGCGGCCATAGCCGCCATAGCTAGAGTAGTGTGAAGTGTGTGTGTGTATGTGTGAGTGTTCAGAGAGTCGCGTGTGGGATATCCAGGGTGATCCGGTGTATGTGAACAGTGAGTTGTTTGGGCGCTGAGTCGCCATAGCCAGTTGAAAGTGAACTTGTATCTGGATGCCAT